GTAGGCAACTGAATACGGAGTAGTCTTCAGTGAGCAAATAAAATACAATTAATATATACTAGTATTAATCTATCATGTAATTCACTGTTGGTACTCGAATTGCCCATTATAGTAAAAATTCATATTTCAATTCAAACTCATTCGTTGATGCAAACCTACGCGAGCTAGTGTGTATGTAAATGCACAAAGAGAAAGGGAGATTGCACCTAGAATGATATCGGAAGGCGGAGGAAGACGAGAGGAGGCGAGCTCGGAAGAGGGAAGGAGCTCGGAGGACTACGGGATGACGAAGCCTTGAGAGCGCCATGGATCATCCGCAGATTCGATTGTCTCTAAATTAATTCTCTGTCAATACGAAATCTGTGGAATCTGGGAGTGGGGAATGGAGGGAGATTCAAGACTATAGTTGATTGATGAAGAAGAAGAAGAGAATGAATGCTACCAGACGGCAACGGAGAGCAGCAAAAGCACGGGTGACCAGCTGGGGTTGTTGGGCTTGAATTCCCTTGAAAGTTCTCGTGTTAGACCACTAGTAATGGAACCCTCGACCTGGGGCTTCAAAAAAGCTTTAACTTACACCCAAAATTCACTGAAAATGGGTTTAAAGTCCTGGGGCTTCAACCCTTCATTTTTACATTTTTAAATATACATCTTCAAAAATTAAATTAATAAAATTTAATTAATTAGTTATTTAATTAAATTGAAACACGAATAATAAAAAAATACATTAATTAAAAAAAGCGACAATAATTTAAAAAAAGATACATTAATAAAAAAACTAAGGTAAATTATATTTCTCCTTGATTTCTCTCATTCTTTGCTCGTAGATCATTCGTCCAAACTCCGAAGGAAGATGTGAGAGATTGGGAAGGGGGGTTTGAATTTATAAGAAATTTTTTTTTTGAATTGGGGGGGTGCAACGGCTATATAGCCGTTAAGGGGGGGAGGGGAATGGAATGACGCAGCGTCATTCCTTTGACGCACGCCCGATCACGCCCGATCACGCCCGGAGGGGGGCGGTGTTTCACGCCCCCCGGGGCGTTAAATGCTCGTTCACGCCGGCGGGCGTGAAGCCCATTTCCAGTGCTCTTAGGAGCAAAATGTGATCTAATTTTAAATTTTTGAACCTCCAAGTTTTAGGTCTCGTTTGGTACATGGAATTCGAACTATGAAATTGAAATTGGGGACTTCAATTCCAATTCTGGTGTTTGTTAGCACAAAAATTATGTGGATTTAGAATTGATAGTGCAAAAAATGAATTAGAATTGACAGAATTCAATTCTATGGAATTGAATCTCATGGAATTTCAATTCCAATTCAATTCCAATTCCATCAATTCCTTATACCAAACGGACCCTTAAACTAGTGCCCGTGGTTAGAGAAAGCATAATCTGCATTAGATTTAAAGTCTCTTTTTTAGAATTTAAACTCTTAACTTTTAGATTCCTTAGTTCTGTTTAATTTCTTTCATTTTTTCCGATTTCTTCTAGTTCCTTTCAGTTTCTTTCAACAATTCTCATTTTCTTCAAAATAAATTTGTATTTTAACTTACCATTTTCCTAAGGTGTAACTTAATATTTATAACGGCCCGGTTCTAGTGACACCGGAAAACGGTGCCACTGGGTTTTTGAGGCACCTCCGATGCTCCGTTCGTAAAATTGACGGTTCCTACCCCCCCTAACACACCCCTTAAACCCCCCCACCCTACCCCCACCCCAACCCCGCCGTAACCCTCCCACAAAATGTGTGGCTATTATGCAATGATTACTATGCATTTGAATGATTTTGCATTTTAAAGCAAAAATTAATAAAAAGAATAAAAAATAGTAATTTTTTTTGTAAATTTCCCTTCAAAAATCAACCAAAAATAGAAGTAAAAAATATTACAAAATAAGAGTCATATGTTTTTATCTACAAAATAATACTATTGTAATATAATGTGACACTGTATATTGACATTTCATTGTAATTTTTGTATTATATGCTGGTCTTATTGATATTATAGTTCTTATTTTGCAAATAAAACGTAAAGATTCTATTTTGGTTGTTTTCTTATATTATATTTCTATTTTATTCTTTCTCTTTTTCCCTTCAGAATCATTGCAGCACTACTTTTTTATTAAATTTTTTTCTTCAAAATTGATGCGGGGAAAAAGAATTGTTGTATTTTAATTGTTTTCAAATGAATATTTTTAATAGTAGAGTCATAAAATCGTTAATCCAATATTTTATTTTTAAATTATGCATTAGAGATGAATCAATTTTTGTATTCAATGCGGGGGGAATCATTTTTTTTTCTAATCTCAATTAAAATGGAGGAGAAAAATCAATGTTTTAATTGTAGAATCATAAGATCGGTAATTCAAACTTTTTAAAATTTATGTTGGGAAATGATTCATAGAATCACTACCTTTTTTGTACTTTTTAAATTTTTACGGGAATAAAAATTATATATATATATATATATAAAATTAATAAACCTAGATCATTTATATTTGATGCCTAAATGATATGTCTCATAAAAAACAAATTCATTTTAATATTCCATATTGTAGAATCACAAACAATTTTGTTTCATCCCGTGCATGGAACAGGTTAAAATACTAGTTCAATTTATATTGGAGACGTAATTTTCAAAATCATCCATCGCTTTTTTAGCACTCCAAAATAGTTGTCTATTATTGTGGTGTTAAAAAATATTTGATCCAAAATATTCGTCCACGATCTGGGCTGATCCGATCCAAAACTAGAAATCTGATCCGAAATTTTAGGTTTTGGATATTTCAGATAGGATATCCAAAAAAATTCGAATCGGATATGGAATGACATGTTAAGATTTGGGATATTCGTGGATATCTAAAGTTCATATTTAAAAAAATAAATATAAAAACAAAGCTTAGACAACTTATGTCCAATTCATTTTCATCGTCATAAATATTTAAATCTAAACTTAATTCAACCTTTTTACTCTAGTCTTTTTGTCCATGTTTTGTTTGTCAAACATGTTATATTTGGGTATCTGGTAATTTTTCAATCGGACATGGAATAGATATTTATCGATCCAAAAATTTTGGATATCCGAAAAATCTGATCGAATCGGATATATCTGAACGAACAACCCTAGCAATGATGAGTATTTGTAATTAAAATGCTCGAGCATCCCACTGGGTGGCAGGCCTCCAATCCACGAAACTTAGACATGCATTATCTAAAATTTTCATGTCTTATTCGACTGAGATATCCAAGAGTGTTTGGATATCTAGAATGCACCAAATAGTTTTTTTCTAAATTAAAAAAATAGAAATTTATGTATATAGTTGTCACGAGTATTACCTCCAAAATCCTAATTGCATAATACCTGCTAGTGAGTGTGGAAACCAAAATTTTGGTTCAAAGAAGCTATGCTTTCTTACAATTATGCCATGAGCACTACTTTTGAATTCAACATTGAGAAAAAATTAACATGAAGCCAAAACACTTTATATTTTATTTCTTTTACATCCTCGAAATGGTAAACCTTTTTCATCTGATATAGTTGCTTCAATAAGAGTTCTTTCAAAGCTCCCACACAATCCTAATTCAATTAATTATATTATAACAGTCGACTTATTATTAAAAACTAAAATTAAAAGTGAAGAATAAAAGCATCTTAAAAAATGACCACTAGTTTGAATTATTGCGTATTTCATACGGAACTTCGTTCAACTCCAGGAAATGTTTGATACGCGTCATGGCTACCGCGACAAAAACTCGTAACACTTCTTTAAAGTATATGCTAATTGTTGCTGTACCGTGGTTAAATTTTTTAAATAAACCAATAAATCCAAGCGGAGAATGTAATAGCCCAAAACTCAATAGTCAATCCATTAGACCATTATCTTTTCAAATTTCTTTTTTTTTCAATTTTTGATATCCTTCTACAATCTCTTATACAGGTAAGGGAACTATTTTATTGAGACAAAAAGAACGGAGGAGATGTGATAGATTTGTTATATTTTAGATTTGTTGTGTTTATGATGATTAGACATGCTCCTTCATGACTTGATCCATCCCTTTATACAAATTGATAGCAATAATACTTTTTCCGTCACAATTTATAATGCATCTTTATTATTTACATGATCAATCTCCATTCACTTTATTTATCAATTTTTGTTAGCAATTTGATAAATAAAGTACTATTGTCAATACTAGTTTTGTAGATCTTTTGATGCAATATTTTAATATGTAATTTTTATTTTTTAATTCTATACCATTTGTCATAGAAAATAATTTGAAAATAATTTTAGTCAAACATCGTAAATCGAAACATGCACTATAAATTAGGATGTAGGAAGTAGTTAGTAGTTGTAATAATAATAACAATAATTTTGATTAGGGGTTATTTGGTAATAACGTTAGAGATTAGCTTTAGTACTTTGATAAAGTTATCTACTAACATCATTTAACATTAGTGTTTTCAAAGTAACATGCACCGTTAAAATTTTATCCAAAACGCTAATTATTATGCCAAAGTCTCTCTTGTTGGGTATGCGCAAAGACATACTCCCTCCGTTCCAAAAAGTCTTTCCTGTTTACTATTACGGCCTTTCGATAAATCCAATTTGTTTGCGTGTTTTCATTGATCATTTGATAAAATAAAATATTCTTGTCGCCTCATATTTTGTAGAGTTTTCGATGTAGTTTTTAAATATAACTTTTTATGTATTATTTTCTTACCAATTTTCAAATAAAATCGTTTTAAAATCTACGAGATTTTGCACGTTAATCAAAACAGGAAATTCTTTCTAGGAGAGTACCATATTAAACAATGTGACCCCTAGGATTTCAAAGGTAATGACTGATTCTCGTTCTCCTAATAGATCCGGATTCCAAAACAGCAAGAAAACATGCCACCCATCATTCTTTCTCATGTAGTCATGTGCAATTCGATCTCCGCACCCCACCCACCCCACACAAGCAAGCATTGCATATGTGGCTCTTGCCATTCATTCTCCATGTTCTGAACTTGCCCTTTTCCGGTCACGAGAGAAAGAAACAGGGAGCAGTGAATATTAATCCCAAAGCTCACGCCTTTTTCAGATAATTCATACATTTTTCCTTTGTCATTTGCATATAGACGCACATATCTAGGGAATCATCTGCTTTTGGGTGTCTTTGACAGATTGGGTTTTGCTTTATCAGATTGGTTTCTCAAAGAAAGACACAGATAGGGCAAGAAAACTTTTAAATGTGGCTTGTGTGATGCATGTGCATTATGTATGGATAATATGATCTGATTTGAGTCTGNGTGAGAGAAGAATTTTGCGTAGCTTGTTGAGGTGAAATGTTGGAAATAGTTGGGGAAGGAGGATCTGAAATGGAAAAGGAATTTGATTCAAAGGTTAAGCTTCAGAGCAGTCCATCCAATTCTCAGAGATCCAAAAGCTTTACATTCAGAGCTCCCCAGGAAGACTTCTCCATTCAAGACTTTGAATTGGGAAAGATCTATGGAGTTGGTTCTTATTCCAAGGTCAGTTTTTTTTAATCCTATGGTTGTTGATCTTTTTTTTATTCTCATTGTTTTAGTCCCTCTCCTGGAAGATTGAGTTTGTTCATTGTAAATTTGTGTTTTTATCATTTTAGCAGTTAGTCAAGCAATGCAACTTTCGACGTTGAGCCGGGGGTCTCTTTGGAAACAGCCTCTCTACTTTCGAGTAGGGGTAAGGTCTGCGTACACACACCCTCCCCAGACCCTACTCTTGTGGGATTTAACTGGGTTGTTGTTGTTGTTGTTATCTGTAGTACTTCAATGGGGGAATGGTGTGGATATACTGTAGTATTGAAGTTCTGTTGTGGTCGTCTGTTATTATTCTTTGCATTGCCTGGAGAAATGCTTTTGCCAGAAATTTCACGCGCTCGGAAAGGGGGTGAACTGTAAACTTCTTCAATCTTGAGTGCTACACTGCCACCCTATGGTGGGACTAAGGGATAACATATTCATTAAAGCCCCCCCCTCCCCACCAACACACCACTACGAGGGCAGTTGCTTTAGTTCTCGAAAACATTTGCTACAGCAGTGTTGTCAAATGGCTTCCATCCAGGGCGGTTGGAAGTGGTTTACATAATATGAAATTTGTTTAGAATGGCAGGGTATGGGAGGGTGGTGGTTTATGGCGGGAATTTTTCCACCCATCATAATCCCCCATCCGCTCACCCTGGTTTTCTTCTCACTTTCTTCACTTTGGTGAGCATGTGAATAGAATGAATTGTTTTGGGTGCTTATTACCCACAGGCTACAATTATCAGTATGTTTTCTCACATCGTTAGCTAAGAACTTGTGATTAAGGAATTATTATAGTCAAGAATTTGAGCTACAGGCTACGTCTGTTTCTAGAAAAATATATTTCTTGGGAATGTTTTCTGAACTTTCTTTGTTTGGCCTGCAGGAAAATATATTCAATGATTATCTGAACTTTTTTGACTGTTTTTTTAATAATAAAATCATCATTATCACATTAAACTAAATCTGTTAACAGTACATCAGAATTGAAGGTTGGAGGGGTAGAGACCCACTCCACCATATCGGTCACAGAATCAGGCACACAAGCAAGAACGCGTGCAATTGGTTCCTGACTTTTTGACAATCATGATAAAGTGACATAAAATAAGCTAAACTCATTTTCTTTAGGTAGTTCCATTTTTTTTGTTAAACTATATGGAGGTGAGGTCGATAAGAAAGTACTAGGTAATTATCAATAGGAAACTTTACCTTCCGCAGGTCGTTGCCCATTGTACACGGTACATATCTACCAAATTGAAAGTAAAGTTTTACCGTAAAATGATCACATAGCAACTATGTTTAATGGGACGGAGTGCTAGGCAATTAAGAACACTCATGTTCGGGAGCTCTCAGTAATAGAGATGTGGATGCTGAGATAGATGTGTTGTCATACATGGATGGATAAGGTTTCCGAACGAAGATTTTTGGAAGAAAGTGGGGGTGGCCCCTATGGATAAACTGCATGAAGCTAGACATAGATGGCTGGACACATAATGAGAGATGTATGAATGCTCCACTGAGGCGGTGTGAGATGCTCAAGGTAGGGGACATGAGGAGGGACAATGGTAAACCTAGGAATAATTGGAAAGATGTGATTAGGCATGACTTACGACTTTAGAATCTCACCGAGGATATGACATTAGATAGGAGAGTTTGGAGGTCTAAGATTAAGGTGGTAGGGTAGGCTATTGGGTAGTAATCTACTTCTATGTAGGACTTGCTACCTTAGCTTGTTGTATCAACTTGTACACTTGTTTCTTTCGTGCTCCTCTCATTTGTCCTGCCTTTTTCTTTTACATGTTATTATGATTTGTCCCAATATAAACAGCCCGCTTTCTTTTTTGATCTGTTCAAAAATCAAAGTCCATTTCCTTTCTTCAGATGAGCATAATTATTTTTGGTCCAACCATATTTTTCAACAATTTTCTTAAACTTTGTGTCTGGTCAAAGTGGACTTTTAATTTGGGATGAAGGGAGTATTATACATAGAACAATATTTGCAGAAAAATATTTTTGGGGAATCATTTTCCACCTTATTTTTCTTGGAATAAGGAGAATAGTCTAGTTGATATACGATTACTCTCTTCGTTCCTTTTTTATTGTATCACTTCTGTTTTATTGTATTCTCCATATGATATCTCTCCCCCTTCATAAATTTCAATCATACAAAATCTCATTTCTTAAATTCTTTGTAAAGTTAAAATGAGGCAATAAAAAAGGGATGGAGGGAGTATTCAACTCAATTACTATGGCTTGTTCTTCAAGCTACTATTTTGAGCGTGCACTGATACTCTGATAGTGCTGATTCATTCTTATTGTTAACCTATAATCATCAGGTTGTTAGAGCTAAGAAGAAAGATACTGGAAATGTTTATGCCATGAAAATCATGGACAAAAACTTCATCACCAAGGAAAATAAGACTGCATATGTGAAATTGGAGCGCGTTGTACTTGATCAGCTAGACCATCCTGGCATTGTGCGTCTATGTTTTACATTTCAGGACACCTTTTCACTATGTGAGTATTTTAGCAAAACTTCATTCAGCAGCACCATCCGATCATGCATTTTTTTTATAATGGGCATTTTTTGCCATCTATTGTGCATTACCAATGAAGCTAAAAGAGACATCATTGACAATGTTTTAGCTTTGAGCAAATAGTGGACTAAATCAAATGGCACATTAATTGCTTCTTTCTTTCTGCTCCCTTCGTCCCAAAAAGACTTTGGATATTTCTAGGGGAACCCCACCCTTTGACACCTTTTTGACACCATAGTTTCTCACAAACAATAATTGTCTATGTGTTTGCGAGAAACTGTGTCAAAGTGGTGTCAAAGGTAGGGTTCCCCTAGCTTTTTTTCCAAGACTTTCCTGTTGCGGGTTTTGATAATTAATTGAAGTTATTTTCAATTCGATTCATATGATAATTGGGGTAAAATTAAAAAATAGAATTTGTATATATTTAGAAACTACATAAAAAAGTCTACAAAACAAGAGGTGACAAAAATATTATTTCATCAAATGAGTCATAAAAATAAGCAAGGAAAATGGTCAAAATTTGACCTTGTAAATGCGACAAGGTCAATTTGGAGTATTAAGTTTTGGATTGTAAATGCAACAATGCGGGAAGGGTATAACGAATCTTGACCCTCAAACCCCAACAAAGTTGGAATTATACCGGGTTGTTGTTGTGGTTGCTGTTGTGTTTTTTTGCTAATCTGAAGTGCATTTTGTTTTGTTGTGAAGACATGGCTCTCGAGTCTTGTGAAGGTGGAGAACTTTTTGATCAAATAACTAGGGTAAGTATAACTTCACTATTCTAGATAAAATGCCCAGTATCAATCTTTTTCAATTCAAATTTTTGGTGCTAGTTTGAATATCTTGTTTTTGTTTTATAGTTTGCTGGGATTCTTTTTAATATGGAGTTTTCACTGAGATTCTCCATTATCCCGTTATGTTCGTGTTCCATGACTCATGTTGATTTTACAACAATACTTCATATGCCCCAAAATTAAGTTCACATTTGTTTTTCAAGGAAATTAAGTTTGTGAAATTGCGTGGTAGAGATTTATGCAACGGAGATAAATAGTACTCTGTATTGACCACAGTACCACACAATTCATTCCATAAAAAGAAGGCGCACTTTATTTTGAGACATCTCAAAAAGAAAAGTGGAAGCTTAATTTTTTTTTGAAAACAATGGAAACTTAATCTTGGGACAGAGAGTAAAAGTTTTGTATTGGGCGTCACCGTAACCAGTGTCTTACCTCATTTTCATCTCATGATAATTCTCATGCAAGCAAAACCCCCACGATATTTTGACGGTTTTGAAATTCATCTCACTATTCCTCTTTAAGAAGGTTGCAACAAAGAGCATCTCGTGAAACCAACATTTTTGGGATTATGACTCACTTGTTAATGAAAAATGGTTAAAACATTTGTTGATGTAGCTACGGTCATGAATTCAATTTCCTAATTATGGTTATGGAAGGGCCAGTATAATGGACAATTGATATTAAGGCCCTGCCTGTCAACACTAGCATTTTGAAAATGCTATATAACTTCAACGTTTAGCTTTAGCATTTTCAAAGTTAAGATGCACCATTTAAAAATTTTCCAAAACGCGAACACTACGTGAAAACACTATTCCCAAACAAGGCCTATGAAATTGCTTGCTGCACACAAACCCTCACCTTTTTTTTAATACCAAAAGCATCGTCTTTATGCATCGTTTTCTTTATTCATGGAAAATGAAGTTGCACTTTACATATTTTATTATGACCTTAGCAGATGTTTTTTCCCTTGCATTTCCTGTTTCTAAAGTTTGTGGGTGCAGAAAGGACGTCTGCCAGAAGGTGACGCTCGTTTCTATGCCGCAGAAGTTGTAGATGCTCTTGAATACATACATAGCATGGGATTAATACATAGAGATATTAAGGTATAGTTCGATATCGATGACTCTCCCTCTGTTGCATATCAGTTTTCTTACTTTGACTTCAGAAAGATTAGGAAAAATGTTATAAAGATGATATAAAGTTGTGAAAATTGAATGATATTGAAAAGTGAGTAGTTAAAATTTGTTTAGAAGAGAGAAGTATCTTGAACCACATTCTTTTCCAAAAAAGGGGAAGAAAAAAAAGTGAAAACTTTTTTGGGAAGAATGGAAAATGAAAGTGGAAAACTTTTGTAGAATGTAGGGAGTACGAGATAATGAGGTATTTAGAAATCTCTAAAAAAATGTTACCTAGCACTTACAACAACAACCTAGTAAGGTCCCACAAGGGTGTACGCGTACACAGACCTTACCCCTACCTAGCACTTGGTTGGGGATCGATTGGGGTTTGGTTGATCCATGGGGGGGGGGATACCTAGACACCTAAGGCAAGTGTGGTCTCTAGACTGGGAAATTTACAACTTTATGAAGGATGCCAAGGGTCCTGTTGGAGTCTCGATAAATACTTGGGAAATTCAGAAGGATTGAAAATATAGGGAAGAGTAAATGATAGGCTAAAACTCAATGGATTTTGAATTTATTTATTTTTAGATACTTGTGGATACTCATTTATTTATTTATGCCTGTCATATAAAGACTAAATATTCTACATCTGTGGGTGAAAGTTTAAAACTAATTATATGTCGTTTTCCTTTCCTTTCCTTTCTCACCTTCCTAAAGCATTTTCCGTGATACAAATATATATGAAATGTTTTATAATTGACAGCCAGAGAACCTGCTGCTTACTGCAGACGGGCACATCAAAATCGCGGACTTTGGCAGTGTTAAGCCCATGCAAGACAGTCAAATAACAGTACTACCAAATGCTGCCTCGGGTAAAATTACAAAAATGTTTCTTTAACAGTGACAACTGACGATATGGATTTGTCACTTTAGCTGAATCTTTTATCTTTAAAAATTCTTTTCCAGATGATAAGGCTTGCACCTTTGTGGGAACAGCAGCTTATGTCCCTCCAGAGGTTTTAAATTCTTCACCTGCAACTTTTGGGTATGCGACTGACTCTTTTCAGTGGACTACATGCATTCAGGATTTCTCCTAAGGGCCCGTTTGGGAGAGGAAAATGATTTTTGAAGTCGACAGAAAATGAACCTTACTTGGAGGAAAATGATTTCCGTTTTCTTTTGCAGAAGACGTTTTCCACCATTCTTTTACTTCTCAAATCAAAACTAACCACATCTTATTATGTTATAACAACAAAAACTAGTTTTTTTTCATTTTCCAAACTTTCAGACAAACACCAGAAAATGAGTTTATTTTCAAGAAGTCATTTGTTCAGAACTCATTTTCAAGAAATCGTTGTCCATCTTTTTTTCCATACGGACCCTAAGTTTACTCAGATTTCCCCACTTAACAATCTGTTCGACATGCTATATTAGAAATGACCTCTGGGCACTTGGCTGCACATTGTATCAAATGCTCTCTGGGACAACTCCCTTCAAAGGTGCTAGTGAATGGCTCATTTTTCAAAGAATCATTGCCAGAGATATCGAATTTCCGAACTACTTCTCTGATGAAGCGAGAGATCTTATTGATCGGCTGTTGGTAAGCTATAGATTTCACTTCATTACCACTTTGGCTTAGAAGAGAAATAGAGAATAACAAAAGAGAGGTGGGAGAGTGTGAGAAGAAATAAAGTACTCCCTCCGTCCGGATTTGGTTGTCGACTTTCTGGTTTCCATTTGTTTGGAAGCTGTTGTCCACTTTTCATATTCATTAAGGTTGCGTTTGGGAACACTGAATTGCAATGAAATTCAGAAATTCAATTCTTTAAATTGAAATTCAAAAATTGAATTCTAAGTCCAATTCCAATTCCAAATGCTTGTTTTAGAACTCCAAGAATTCAATTCAAGAATCCTCATTTACGGTGGGGAGAGAGTGTGTGAGAGGTTAGTAGAGAGAAACTGAAGGAAGAAAAAAGAGAGAAAGTAGTACATGAAAAAATGACTGATGTTTGAGGAAAGAGCAAGCTTGAAATTCAAATGACTAGGCAATGGTAGTCATTTAAAGAGAGCTATTTTACTATTGTGGGGGAATATGCATGAAATTGACCCAATTCCATTTCCAAATTCTTAGGCCAAACATTGGAATTGAGTCAATTGTAGAATTCAAATTCAATTCCTTGTTCCCAAACACACCATAAAGGAATTATGATGCATGGTCTAAAAAATCCTAGAGGTTAGTATGAACATTGACGAGTGAAAAACTCAAGGACTTATTTGACTTTTTAAACTCATTTCTTCAAAAAAAAAAGAGATATTTTTTTTAGAAAATGAACATCTGGATGGAGTGAAAGTCGATTTCTCGTCCTTCTATCTTCCCTTCTTTCTCTTCAAGCAATCAAAATTTGCATGTTCCTCAAGCTCCATTATTTCATATGAGTGTTTCTATGTGTGCCCTTATATATCTGTAAGTGGGTGTGTGGACACACACACACATACAAAGACATCTATTTATGCATGGGCATATGTGAGTGTGTGTTTACCTATCCTCATCAATGCGGTTAGCTGCAGCGTTGATTTGTTTATATTGTTCGGAATTGTTTATTTGTTTCAGAGTGCAAAATGACATGAAATACGGAGTAGCATTAAGTTGTATGATCATCATTTGCCTAACTTCTTATTTGTACAAACAATATCTCAGGACATTGATCCTAGCAGAAGACCTGGTGCAGGTCCAGATGGCTATGCCTCACTTAAAAACCACCCTTTCTTTCGAGGGGTTGACTGGCAAAATTTAAGGGCTCAAACCCCTCCGCGGCTAGCTTTGGATCCAAAAGTAGGAAACCCTCTCCCAAATGATAGTAATCACCTCAATATTCTTAATTTAATTACAAAACTCTCTCCGTCTCTAAAAGAACTTCTTCAGCTGTCCCAAAAAGAAGTTTTTATATCATTTATGGAAAAAAATAATGGGTTCATAACTTCCATGATACAGTTTTACTTTTTTTTTAATAACTTCGTGAAAAACAAACAAAAACCTCTTTTAGGGACGTAAAATAATGTTTGAGCTACTTATAATGTTGAGCATTTTTTTCAGTCACAATCCTTTCATAGTGGAGGCGATGATCAAGAGTCGTGGAATCCCACACATGTTGGGGATGGTTCAGCTAGAACAAATGATGGAGCCTCATCATCATCTTCTGAAGCTGCTGCCGCCAGTAGCATCACAAGGCTAGCTTCAATTGATTCTTTCGACTCGAAATGGTATGTACGCGCTTATGTTTCATTGTTTCTCCCTAAAATTATTAGGTAGAAAAAGCCTATAAAAAGACTGCATTTTTCTTCTTCTCTTGCATGGAAACAGGAAACAGTTTTTGGATCCTGGGGAGTCGGTACTGATGATCTCCATGGTTAAAAAGATACAGAAGCTCGCTAACAAGAAAGTGCAGCTCATCCTCACAAACAAGCCGAAGCTTATTTACTTAGACCCGTCAAAGTTGGTTGTCAAAGGGAACATTATATGGTCCGACAATCCGAATGACCTCAGCGTTCAAGTCACTAGCCCTTCAAACTTCAAGATTTGCACCGTGAGTTCCTTAGTTAATCTCATTTTACACGATTCAATTCCATTACATAATCTCAACTGGTGCACTGAATGTTCGGAATACCGCGTACAGCCAAAGAAGATCTTGGCTTTTGAGGATGCCAAGCAGAGAGCGTCGCAGTGGAAAAAGGCAATCGAGGCTCTTCAAAACCGGTGATTTGATTTCATACATACAAACACACATACTTTGGTTGTTACCCTATGGAAGCTATTGGATTGCCAAAAGAAAAAGAAAGAAGAAATATGGGTCGAAACGACTATCAAAGGTCCTTGCGGCCCCACCCGGGGGGGAAAAATCTACGTCCATGTTTAACCATGGTTAAGAGATTTCTCAGTGGACGATGGATCGAGATGGGTAGTACGTAGTCGAATGACCTTCGGGTTGTGGTGTAAAACGCCATCAAATTCATAGCAGAGAAATATTGTAAAATATTGCACAATGTTTTGTTCTTAGTCTTTTTTTTTGTGTGTTAATTGTGTATTGCTTAGGAATTATGCTAAGGGTACCCTAAATTTGACCACAATTGTGACACTACCTTCTGAGTTCTCACAGATGTTCATAGACACTGACATTGTTCCATTTGTGCGTTTTTCGGTTTTAAAAAAACGAACATTTGAGAATAAATTTTTCGCATTTTTAAAAGACGAAAATGCATTGTTCGATGTCCAAAACGAAGTGGATATATTAAAGTAAAACCCATTAAACCATCAAAACAGAGATCTCTTTAAAAGCATAAAATCATTAAAAGCTATCAGTCTACAAAGAAGGTGCAATTAATGGTTTTCCTTATACTCCATCTGTGAATTTTTTTTTCTCATTTTTTTTCATCCATCTCAATATTGTTTATTTTTATTACGGTCATATTTGGGAATAACGTTAGAGATTTGCGTTCGCGTTTTGAAAAGGTTATCTACGGACAGCGTTTACGGTTAGCATTTTTAAAATAATCTATACTGTTAAAATTTTATCAAAAACACTAAGCTATTCCCAAAGACGCTCTAAAAAGTCACTTTACTCATACTAATGCTTAACATAGATATCACATTACATCGATTCACTATTAATCTACTTATCAAATCTTTTAAAGATCAAAATCCAAAGATACTTTTGGAAGCTCAACACCAAAATACATTTTCCTTAAATCTATTAAAGATCAAAATGTCATGTGTTTTCAGGGACAGATGAAGTATTTAACAAGTGCGATTTTGAATTAACTTAGCAAATGCAATAAGCAATGCAATTCTAGTACTTGAAAATATAGTTTCTTTATTGAATACGGAAAGTGGACAATTAGTTCACAAAAATGAATAAATCTTGACGGAGAAATTATACTTTAATATGGAGTGTTATTTAGAGGACTTTCTCAAAAAGTAAATTATATTAGGATGGAGCACTGGATACTTTTATATAAAACTTATTTAAATAAGACTAAAATATGTACTGTAATTTATACGCGGTATTGGAGATCTTGCACGGAGCCTCCCACGAATGCACGAGAGTCAGGCGAGACGTGCCGGCACGAGCTCTATATTGGACCTACGTGATGATGAACTAAGAAAATTAAGGGAAGAGCTTGAAGAGATGAGATCATCTCAAGCGCGTGAATTACTAACAATCAAAGAGGAGGTGACTCTCTCACCTCAATTAAGCTTCCTTCCTCCCCTCACACTCCTTTCCCAAACTCGTCGCTGAGTTTGAAGCTTTGAACCCAAACCGAAATCATCACTCTTCTCTCAATTGTTTATAGACCTGGTGGAACCCAAATTCGAAACTAGTAACCTTCATGGATGAGTCTTAATGTTTATTTTCTTTTCAATTTCTTGAGACTAACCGATAAAACTCATCCATAAAGTATTTCGTTGTCGTTTTGACTAATTCGCAATACCAAGCCTGTTTTTTACCATACCCATCAACAAAGAAATATGCCAAATAGACCAAATTCAATAATAACTCATATTGATAACACCATCATAGAGTGTTCATATGAACACCAATTTCTTGATTCAATATGAACATTTTATTGTTTCAGAATGAATGATAAATTATTTTAAAATGAACATTACGTTGATCATAAATAAATACTATAATTGTAATGAACAACGTGAGAAAATGAACATTACATTATTTTAGAATGAATACTGTATTGATTCTTATTGTCCCTCCATCCCAATTTTCGATTACAAATTTGGAATTACGAGATAAAATCTCACGATTTTTGAAATAATTTTATTTACAAATTGATACATAAATAAAATTAAGAATTACATATTAAAAAACTAAGTAAAAAAATCTACAAAACAAGAAATGTCAAGAATATTTTGCTCTATCAGATAATCAATAAAAATTTACAAATAACAAATTATCGAAAAGAGTGAATTAAATAAAAATCCTCATATATACAATGCTAAGATGACTTCATGAATAGTGTTCCCGCCAAAAGAAGAGGTTAAGTGATTCGGGTATGGGCCGGGCAATAGAAGTGACAGGTATGGGCCTATTCATAGGGATGGGCTCCATAAAGTGACTTTATGTCTAATTAGTATGAGTTGTTAGAACATTCTCTGGCTCCATAAAGTAACATTGGAAAAAATGTAGTTTTATGTCAAATCTATCAAATATAAAGATTTTTTTATCTAGCCATTTAATAAAGTGGTTAAAAAGCTCATTTAACAAATCCTACTATATACTCTCTATGTCCCTAAATATATCTCACATTTCTATTATCGAGGTAAAATATCATTTCTTTCAATTTATTTTATTTACATATTGACATTAAAATAAAAAATAAAATTTACATATCAAAAAACTACATGAAAATTTTTTCAAACTAATAGGCGTCAAGAATATTTTAATTTATCAAATAATCAATGAAAACATAGAATTAAACAAAAGTTCCCGCGACTACTAAAAAAGCAAATGTGAGATATATTTAGGAACAGAGAGAGTACAATGCGTTTTGGGAGTGTTCCCGCCAAAATCATCGAGTAATGAGTTCGGGTATAGACCAGGCCAAGTGGGTTGACTGACGCGGTTATGAGTTAGATATCTTCAAGTCAAATCATGGATGCATTGCTCCATAAAGTAAAACTGTAAAAGTAGTGTCAAATCTATTATGTTGCTCAATGTGTTTTATGTCAAATCCATTTAGTTTATAGATTTTCTATTTCCAAGCATATATTGGTGCGTGACTCGATACCAACTTTATGTCAAATCAAAATAAATAAATAAATAGTGCATTAATATGGAACCGCGTGCGTAGTAATGTTGTTGCGGGGCTCGATGCAAAGTTTATGTCAAATCAAAATAAATAAATGGTCACTATATTCCTACGAAACCGCGTGCGTAGTAAAGTTAGTGCGTGACTCGATGTAAACCTTATGTCAAATCAAAATAAATAAATAGGTATTGTACTTATATGGATTCGGGTGCGTAGTAATGTTGTGCGTGGTTCGATGCAAATTTTATTTCAAATCAAAATAATTAAATGTGTAGTGTATTATTATGAAACCGCGTGAGTAGTAAAGTTGGTCCGTGACTCGATGTAAACTTTATGTCAAATCAAAATAAATAAATGAGTAGTGTATTGATATGGAACCACGGGTGTAGTAATGTTGGCGCGGGGCTCGATGCAAACTTTATATCAAATCAAAATAAATAAATGGATAGTGTATTGCCATGGAACCGCGTGCGAAGTAAAGTTGGTGCGTCACTCGATGTAAACTTTATATCAAATCAAAATAAATAAATGGGAAGTGTATTAATATGGAACTGCGTGCGTAGTAATGTTGGGGCATGAGTCGATGCAAACTTTATGTCAAATCAAAATAAATAAATGAGTAGTGTATTGCTATGGAACCACGTGCGAAGTAAAGTTGGTGCGTGACTCGATGCAAACTTTATGTCAAACCAAAATAAATAAATGGGTAGTGTATTGATATATAACCAGGTACCTAATAATGTTGGTGCGTGGCTCGATACAAACTTTATGTCAAATCCAAATAAATAAATGAGTATTGTATTGCTATGGAACCGCGTGCGTGGTAAAGTTAGTGTATGTCTCCATTTAAACTTAATGTCAAATCAAAATAAATAAATTGGTGTATTGATATGGAAACACGTGCATAATAATGTTGGTATGTGTCTTGCTGCAAACTTTATGTCAAATCAAGATAAATAAATGAGTAGTGTATTGCTTTGGAACCGCGTGCGTAGTAAAATTGGTGAGTGGTTCCATGCATACATTATGTCAAATCATATTAAATGGGTAGATTGATTGTGCAATTAATATACTACTTATATTTCTAAACATTCAAAGAGTATGTATAATGCGCTTGTCGAGATTGACAATAGTCGAACCACTTGGATGCTTATGTTATGAGTGGTTTGTGTCTACTTTGTTCTGGCTTGAACAAGAGGAGATTCGTTGAAAGTGATCTTTCATGATAAACATGCATAGTATTCATAATTTTTTAAAATTTTATTACATGTTATTATTATAATTTAATTTTATCATTTTCTTTGACCAATGCTTTTCCTAATTATTCAGTTTATAATTAGAACGTGCAACACACGTGTACGAATCTAGTAAAAATCAAAATTGGTACGAATCTAGTATATGTTTTGTAGTGTACTCCCTCCGTCCTATATCTTTCTTCCTAGAGCACTATTTCAACTTCACGGAAATTTATATTTATTTGTGTTTTTTCATGGCCTATATGATAAAGTAAAATATTCTTGTCAACACTTGTTTTGTTGAACTTTTGATGTAGTTTTTAAATATGTATGTTTTATTTTTTATTTCTATACCAATATTTATATAAAATAGATTGAAAAAACTTGAGATTTTTCTTCGTTTTGCACAACGAGAAGAAAGATATAGGACGGAGGGAGTACAATTTAGGGTACAATGTAGTATCCAACAAGGTTGGATTGAAACGTAGTGCAATTTAGTTATTGATTCTGTCACTGTTAACGAATCTTTCTTAAGCAGAGAGATGATTTCTTCTTCTTTTCTTCTTCTTCTTCTTCCCTAGTTATTTGATTCACTTTAACACCAGTGACTAATGGCGAACGGAGCTCAATCCGAAGATAAAACTCTTCAATCCATCTGCTACAAACGCGGCTCTCTCCAGCTCCTTGATCAGGTTCTCTCTCTCTTTCGCTATGTGGATATACCTTACGATAGATCAATTTCTTTTGATTTAGCTGTGAGAGATTTTACATCTTTGTCAATCCAGTTGTTCATTCTCTTCTTGCTAGAGTTGTGGCTGATTCTGTGTCTTATTCTATTGAGCGGATTGTTAATCTGCCAGATTTCATTCATGATGTTCTTCAGCTGCTTGATCTGAATATAACTTGAGTAGCACTTGAATCTTCCAAAAAAAACAAAGCAAAGGAAACGAATCTAGGCTTGGAATCCTTGAATAGTTTGATTTATGGGAAATGTCTGATTTTCTTAAGATTGAAAGCTTTTGTTTCTATCATACAGAAATGCATTGAGAATTAGGCTATATCAGATTTGGGGATAATGTATCGGAACTCAAAAGCAACTTCTGTTATCTCGAAAAAGAAGGATAAACATTCTAAAGGGTGAATCAAACCATTCTGGGGCGAACGAGAGAGTTGACTATACTTACTAATTAGTCATACTCTACTAAGAACAAAGATTCTGGAAAGTAAAATGAAATGGTTTTGAATTTCTAGGAGTCAAAGAGAGTTTACTTGCTTTAGAATTAGATGTTTTGATGAGGTTTCATGAAACTGGAAAAGGAAGTTGATGTTGCATATCATTTACCTTGGACACATGCATTATCATTCTTGTGATATGAATGTGACTACACCTACATTACTAAGAATTATCTTATGCTTTATGAGCAGCGGAAGCTTCCACTAGAAACAATTTATCTGGATATAAAAAATGTGCAAGATGGATGGTAATCTTTTTAACATTTATTGTAATTTTTTTGCACTTACAGGAACTGGCAGAAATTTCTGCAATTTATTTATACTATTCTGTATTCCAAAATTAATATTTTTCATTTGTAAATTTATATATGCCTCAGGGATGCAATAAAAGAAATGGTAGTCCGGGGTGCACCTGCAATTGCTATAGCCGCTGCACTTTCCTTGGCTGTAGAAGTGTCTAAGTTAGAGACCTTTAACGGTACAGCTCAAGAGGCAGTATCTTTCATCAGCCAGAAATTAGAATATCTTGTCTCGAGGTAACTATCTGGAATGAGCAATTTTTTATTGTATGATTCCTTGAGGCTTGAGCTTTATTTGCTTATTAGTACTTTAAATGGATCACAAAGCAGAGTTTCACATGATTAAACTTTTGCAGCCGGCCAACAGCTGTGAATCTTTCAGACGCCACTACAAAGCTTAATGAAGTTATAAAGAAGGCAGCTTCCACTGCTTCAGAAGCCAAAACTGTTTTTGAGGTAGTTATGCGGTTGTATGTAGTTTGACGATATAGCAGCTACTCCAAGAGTTTAAAATTGTTGGTAATCTATGTTATATTTGCTCATTATATCTGTCATTTGAAAAAAAATCAAACAAAAATAACTATTTCCCCTCTGACCCTCTCCTTTGAAGGAAAGAATTGTGTGGTCCATAATGATTTCTTTATTTTTAAGTAAATTTCAACCACACAATTTCATTTCATTGAACTCCATATAAAAAGCAAAATGAGAACATAAAACAGGGACAGAGGGAGTGCTTGATAGTGCATTACTGCATTTGTATGACTCAAATCTAACTTTTTGTATCTTCATCTTAGGCTTATATTGAGGCTGCAGAAATTATGCTCAAGGATGATGTTACTTGCAATAAAGCAATTGGGTCATATGGAGCTTCTCTTCTGCAAAATCAGCTACCAGACTCTAGGAAGATATCAATATTAACTCATTGCAATACTGGAAGGTACCTTTTCATTTAATGGCTCCCTGTTTAAGAAATATTGGCAAAGGATTCTATTGTGAAGCTCCTCTGATGTTTTTCATCTCATTGAATTAAACAGCCTGGCAACAGCTGGATATGGAACTGCCTTAGGCGTTATTAGGGCCGTGCATACTTCCGGAGTTCTGGAAAGGGCTTATTGCACTGAAACACGCCCTTTCAACCAGGTAACTTGTGGTCTATGATGACAGAAAACGGGGGAAAGACAAACTTCAAACGGAAAGTGGAAAAAATATATTTTCCAATAATCTAAAAAAACAGGAAACTGGGAAAAGTGCTGTTAAATACAACAACAAACGTAGTAACCTGTTGGGGCTGTCGGTGGAAACATACGGTTCAATAACAAGGGTTTTTTTATACTGTACTTTATAACTTGATCTTCCTCCTTGGCACACATCCTTCATCAATGCATTACATATATACTCCTAGGCATACCTAGGAATATATCAAAAGACTACACGACAACAAAGACAAATCCAGAAAGATATCAAGATGTTCGCAACCTTGCCCCTGTAAAAACAGAGTTTTAGACAGAGTTTTAGAGACTGTTTTCATTACCCGTGATGCATTTACTATCCAAAACATCATATAAAGCAAGAAGAAACATTTAATGTGTCTGTCATTTTGATTTAGTCCATTATTTACCTAAAGTTTTAGCACAACGGTTCAAATGACATCGGGTTACCCGAGATGTCTACAGTGCTCCGTTCGAAAAATTGCCCCGGACTCTCAGCCCCCCCCCCTGCCTTCGCAAATGGTTTAGTCCGTTATTTTCTTTACCAAATGGGTTTTTTCTCTCAATTTAAATACCAGGGATCCAGATTGACCGCATTTGAGTTGGTTAGTGAGAATATCCCCGCCACACTTATAGCAGATTCCGCTGCAGCTGCGTTGATGAAAGCTGGACGCGTGAATGCTGTCATTGTTGGAGCTGACCGTGTTGCTGCAAACGGTACCTTAATCATATTAATTTTGTTTTTGATTGAAAAAAAGTTAAGTTTTTCACAGGGAATGAATTCCATGACATACTTTTAGGTGATACTGCGAACAAGATCGGAACCTACAGTCTTGCTGTTTGTGCTATGCATCACAATATACCGTTCTATGTGGCTGCTCCCCTGACTTCCGTTGATTTATCCTTACCTTCCGGAGAACAAATCGTGATAGAAGAAAGATCTGCCAAAGAGCTTTTGAATGCACGGGGAGGACTAGGTGAGCAAATTGCCGCCTCTGGCATTTCTGTTTGGAACCCAGCATTTGATGTCACCCCAGCTAGTCTGATTAGTGGCATTATAACCGAAAAGGTCAGCTTCTTATCTCCGCTAACGAGGACATGTCCAATGCTTAGTAATTAGTTGATTAACATTGGTCGGGCATTATGCAAACAGGGCGTGATCAAGAAGGACGATGGGAGCGATGCTTTTGATATTGCTGGCTTTGTGCACAAGGCCTCCGGAGATGCATGTGATACTCTGCACTGAGGTATCCTTTGTTGGGAAAGTAGGGTTTTTTATTTTAATCTATTGAATGATTGTGTTGGATGCACCTCAAAAAATCGAATAAAACATCATCCAACCAGACATTTCTCCTTAAATTGTACTTGTGACAAAATATTTACACGCCAAATGTAACACCTCAAACTAAACAAAAGAAGAAATATGAGTGTAGTAGAAGGATTATACAATGAAATATTTGCACTAAATAGCACTAACACCACTTGGGTCATTTCCCTAAATAGCACTTAAATTGTTTTATTTTTTAAATAACACTTAAATTGTTTTATTTCCTAAATAGCACTTAATAATGTCTATAATGTCCAGTGATGGCGAATATTTACTTGAATAATGACTAATGGGTAATGACTAAAAGTGCTACATTGGGAAAAGAACACATACATGTGATGCTATTTAGGGAAAGTCATTATGTTTTAGTGCTATTTACGTAAATTCCTCTTATACAATTATCAAGTTGCTAAGTACTCTGTACTTACTAATTGTTCAGTACAGAGTAATGTCAACAATGTTCACACACACACACATATAGATCATGCTCCTTCACTACTCTTGCTCTCCTTTGACAATGGTTTGATAAGAAATATGGTGAGGGCGAGGAGGAGAAAGCAAAGGAGTCCTTGAGAGAATAAAACGCCAGGGCGTACGATCTTACACTTTCCTTCAACCGTGCTTTTCAATGCTTGTCCATACCCACATAGGAACATTGCTAAAACAAATGTGAAGCTGCATGCACACATATATGTAGTATAAGATATACTCCCTCCGTCTCGGAAAACATGAGAGTTTTGATTTTGAAAAGGGATTTAAGGTTAGTGTATTTTGGTATTGAATTTCCAAAAATGTCATTTGATGTGATGGGTAAAAGTATGATTTGATGGATAGATTATTAGTAAAAAGGTATGATGTGATAGGTAGGGTATGAAAAAGTAAGGGGTAAAAGTGACTTTTTAATAGAAATGAGAAGTGTTTTTTGGGACGGATGAAAAAAGAAAGAAAAAAGGTTTTCAGGGACGGATGAAATATTTATTAAAAGTTCACAATATACCTTCAATGTTTTAGGGTATTTTTTTCAGTTTGACTTTTTCGGTTAAACTAGAAGAATATGATGATCTTTTTTTAAATATACATTGCATGTTAATATAATTAAATGTTGTTTGTGTCCCTAAATGTTCACATAGTAAAAAAAATTCATCTTTTTTTAGTTATTTCTTTGAAATACATAACCATTTACCTCTTGTTTTGAGGAATTTTAATTGTGAAATTATTTAAGTTTTATTTTTTAAACATTACGCTAATATCCAAATAATTGAAATAAAGTTTATCAAAAATAAGTTGGATAAATTAATGTGAAAAGTACTTTTATTTAAGGATCAATATAATATTCGTTCAATTTGATTGAAAACTTCAATAAGGATCAACCCAATAGAAAGGAAGTCACTTTTTTTGATGCGCAGGAACCACAAGGTCTATAGCACTTAAAGTATTTAATGATATAATTATTGTGTTTGAAATCACGATGGAAAAAAAATCAAATGAAAAATTTTATTTTGAGATAAAAGGAAAGTATATGAATTACGTGCATTCTCCGCGTACGTACGTATCTTTTCACAAAAAAATTAAATCATGAAATAAAAAGTCATATCGGAATCGGAGCACTATTTTTTTTAGAGGAATTTACCTAAATAGCACTAAAAGATAATGACTTTCTCTAAATAGCACTACATATGTTTTTCTTTCCAATGTAGCACTTTTAGTCATTATGCATTAGTCATTATTCAAGCAAATTTTCGCCATCACTGGACATTATGGACATTATAAGTGCTATTTAGAGAATAAAACAGTTTAAGTGCTATTTAGAGAAATGACTTAAGTTTTAGTGCTATTTAGTGCAAATATTTCTTTTTTTTATCAGATGAATAATGAAAATAGTTAGACAAAAAAAAGGGAATCATGCATGCATGCACGCACGTACAATCTCAAGACGACAAAGAGTGTTGACATTGGGTTCCATTGTTTGGATCTGAAGTAGGAAAGCAAGGGAATCATGACCCCCGCCACAAAGAGAGACGCCGCCGCAGCTCCGCCCAATGTAACCACGCCACTGCCAATGCCTCTCTGGCAATTTGACACATTCTTCATATGCTTCACCTATATATGTATGTGTATATATATATATATATATATATATATATATATATATATATAATAATACATGTATCATTCATCCCATAATTAATTAATTTATTAAACATTTTTAGTCGTATAATATGTTTTTGTAAACTATATATATATATATATATATATATATATATATATATATATATATATATATATATATATATATATATGGATTTAGTGTTTGTTGAAGCGGAAAAAGAATTTGGATTTATGTCACAAGCTCTCCGAGGAATCTAGCTCTTAAATTCTAGAGATATCAACAATATACTCTATATTAGAGTTTGAATGCTCTTCCTCAACTATTGACCACCTCTGCCACGGAATACCATTGTCACCGCAAACCATCCCGTAGTCGGCAACTTACGCCTATCATCATTTAATAAATTGTGATTTTGATTCTCTCTGATTAAACACTTCAGATTTTGATCAAAAATATATATCATATCATACCTCCAAAATAAAGTAGGCCGAAGGGGTCCTTAAGTTAAAAATAATATTCACGTCAAGAAAAAATAATAGAAAAGGAAGAAAAGAGTGCATGTCATGTGTTGGTGCACATTTTCAAAACTATATGGGGCAGAGGAGCAATTCATCTAATATTTGAAGGATATTTTGGTTTAGAGGGATTGACATATGAACATCAGCACCATGAGAAGTAACAAAGCAAATTTTGAAACCATATATGGAAGCTAGCTAACAATGCACATTTAATTTACTAAACCACAAGGCGTAATGGTACGGTGTTTTATAGTTGGTACTATTATATAAATAAATAAAATTGAAAAATGATTTCGATCAATCATCATAATAATTAGCAATGCAATTTTAGTTGTGAGATTTTTACGTACCATAACAAGTTGAAGAATCCCTCCCATAATTCCTAAAACTCCTGCGATGAAATCTATTAAGACAATGCACGCAATGTAACCGCCTTTCATTTTTTGTTTTTTTTGAGTATGTATATGTGATAATTAATTAATGTGTGTGTGTGTGTATATATATATATATAATTGAAATGGAGTACTATATTCTAATCCTCTCCCACAAACAAGGGAATATATATAATTGGAATTAATGGAGTATATGCTAATCCTCTCCCACAAAGTAATTCATTTTTTATTCTCATGATTTTCGTGGTGATATTTTGACAATTAATAATTATGATTTTTTATACTCCTTCCGTTTCACAAAACCCGGTTTGTAGTATTATGAGTTTAAAAAAGGTTACTTTATTTATAATAGTAGTAGTAAGTTGGCAAATTAGCGTGTGTAAACCCCGTTTGTAGTAATAAAAGTATGAATTGAAATTGGTGGTATCCGATGTGGCGATGATATGAAGGAGCTAGAGAGATGATACAGTATTAAAGGTATGTATATATATACTTCCACCCTGAGGGAAACATAATTTCTTTATGTGTAAGGAAATTACGGAATTTTGAATTAAAGCTTATTAAGGAATAGTACACTCTTAAAATAATTTTCTTAGTTCAAAGGTTTTTGCAATCCAATTAGATTAATTTACTTTTACCTCTAAAACTCAAATGTCATTTCTATAAAATGAGCCTTTTGCAACATTTTATGAGTAACATTTACATAAATATTACTCCCTCTGTCCACCATAAATCTTCCCAGTCACTATTCACAGGGTCAAACTTTACTCACTTTGTTTACTCAATTTTACTAGTAATTTCATAAAATAATATAGTCTTGTCACCTCTAGTTTTGTAGAATTTTTCATGTAGTTTATTACTATATAAATTTTATTTTAAAATTTTACTCCTATAATAGATTAAATTGAATTGAAAATAAAGTCGGTCAAGCCTCGTAACGCGTAATGGGAAGATCATACATGGACGGAGGGAGTACTTTTAAATATTCTATCAAAAGAAAATTTACTTTTAAATATATTCGGTAGCAATTATTTTAAAATGTTGCGTTTAAGTTTTATGCTTCTCTTAGTAGGGAATAATGGTATATTCATAATTTGTCAAATATTACGGCTGAAAAACTTAGCCCGCAAGCAAATTAATTACGGAGTAGTTTATCGTCTCTAAAAAAACATTTTTTAACAAGCATGAAAGAGTGAAAATGTACACGTCTCAAAATATTCGTGCAGTTTAACTTTTATTTATGAGTCGAATTGGACATTTCGATCGTCGATAGAAAAATTGTATTGCATATATATTAGTACAAAAACAGTTTTGTTAAATTTATCTTATAGAAAAGTTTCAATATATATATATATATATATATATATATATATATATATATATATAGTAATTGATGATTAAAATTTAGTCAACTTGAGTTAAGATAGTTGAACATTACGATTAGAGACAAGCTGGGAGTACACCAAAATGGAGTACTCAATTTGTACACCAGACAAATACAGATATTTTGAGTCTGTGATCCACAAACACTAATTAAGTGTTTGTTTTTGTCTGTGTTTGCCTGATGTACAAATAGGGTATCAATTACGCACTATATGGAGTACTCCGTACTTAAGTGCATGCATGACCCAACTCAAGTGGGTTAGACTATATATTGTGTTGGGATGGATTGGACTCTGCCCTGCCCAATGCCCCAAATTTCCTTTCTATTGCCTAGCTCGACCTTTTCTAGCATTATACTCATCTGTTTATGAGTTTTTGGTATATTTTGACTTTTTACAGTCAATTAAAATTTATTTTTAACTTATATTAAGAAAATAAAAAATTATGTGGTAAATTGAATAAATAAAGCAATACTTTGATATTTTTTTTACAACTTAAATATAGTAGAATTATATTTATATATCAATATCTTATATACTCCCTCTGTGGCACAAAATATTTCTAGTTTTAAAAAAGCAAGTTTTAAAACTGTGTAATTGTAGTATTATTTTCTAATTTTATCTTTACTTTATACTAGGGTGTATGTAGGATATAATATGTATGATAGATAGGCAAAACTTAATTCATTAGCATGAAGTATTTTAGAAGGTGCCAAAAATAAATTCGAAAGAATTTGGTCCAGAGTAGATAATATCATGCTAATGTGTGGTAACCCGTGGCGAAGGTGACGTTATGCACAGTCTCAAAACAAAGTCCAATTCAGTGTTATCATCGCCAATCTCCAAATCAAAGCCCGATTAAGGTACTCTACTCTTAGTCATTTCCCTCGTACTTTATTGGTTCATTATGTGAATATTCTTTGTTCATGTATTTATTACCCGGAGTATAAAATTTAGACTTATGATAACAATATCAGGGTAAATATGGCATTTAACTTTTAATCTAACCATTAGTTATGCGCTTCATAGCATAGCTAAGAAAAGCATAGTTAACCGTTTTTTTCCTTTTTAGTATTGTAAGTTTGTGGGATTTCAGTCCAAAATCAATGAATAATGAGAAGAGTAACTCGTGCTCTTGTTTATTAGTCTTTTTTAAAAAATGCTACTTTAACTTCACAAATGACACTATAGTTGACACCATTAGAGACGACCACGCATTCATTAATTCCCTCTGAGACGATAACGAAGTCAACCTTCATATCATCCATGGTGTGAGAGTAACATGACCATTAATCTTTTAAGTCATAATGTTCAATTATGTATGTCCTCCACATGCGTCCCTCACCATATATGATAAACATATGATGGTGAATTACCAAAAGTACCCTTTCGTTTAGTTTTGCCGCAAATCTCGTCTCTCTCACATTCTTGTCCATAATATTATCATTTTGAACGTATTCATTTACTTACGAGGTTGTAAAGAAATTCTCTGACCAGCAGACAATTTTTTTTTTGTTTTTGTTTCGGATGCATGCCGCATGCATTTGGGCATTTCAAGCATGGATTTTATGTAGTTGTAAACGGTGTAATGCCAAAATGCCATAGCTCCTCCTGCCTGCAGCATCTCATCACATTCTAATTCCAGCTGTATGAAGAAGCCATCATTCAACCTCTTCGATCAAACCAATTTAAATGCTGCTGTTTCCATACATACATATATATGTTGTAATGCTGGTAGAGAAGCTTGCTGCTAATCAATCCATGTGGTTTGATTTGTTTCAATTTCTCTCTAGCTATGAGACCCCGGCCCACCTTTTCTGGGATTCAACTAGGATCGTTTTCGTTGTTGTATGAAAGGTGTTTCGATTCGTTACAAGTACCAAAATTTATCGTTTACAAACAAGTTCATTCATATATTTTTGGTGGTTCTACTCTTTTTTTTTTATTATTACTCTCTCTGTATACCATATTTTGATCATTATTCATGTGTGCTTATACAAATAAAAATGCAGCACAGTTGTGACAAGAATTTCACATCATATATAACACGACCCATTTTAAACACAAATTGTGCAACGTTTGACTATTAATTTGAGAATGCTTCTAAAGTCTAACGCCTTCCCGTTATTAAATTGCTACGCCTGTTCGTTGCTCCAGAAAAGAGTGAATTCACTTTGAATTGAATTAAGGAAGTGTATTTGATTCAAATTTTAAAATATTTTGACAGATTTTTAATAATCCATGAATTATGTATAGTCAATGATTATTTTAGTTTCACATTAAATTGTATAACAATGACCATTTTGAAAATTTACTTAAGCTTAGATAATGGAAATACCAAAGTATCTTCCAATTAATCAACATTTAAGTGCATTTTCTACAAAGAACTATTTAGAAAATAAATCTCAATTATAAAATACCTCACAAGTAATTAGAAGTTATTGGTGATTGATTTGGAAAAACACTTAATTACAAAGGACCATCTTGGAAATTTACTCAAGTTTTTTATGAGTAGTAACTACTGCAAAGTACCATTCTATCTGTTTCCTGAAACCATTCTAGTTTTGACTTGTGCCAGATTTATTTTAGTAGCTTAACTTTCTAATTATATCTTTAACATCGAAAAAAGAAGAGAGATAAATAATTTAAATAACTTATTATATAAATACAAATTGAAAGCAGTATATTGCAATGATTTTAGGAGGATATATTAGTCATTTTTCACAAAAAAAATGAAAATGTTTTAGGGAAAACGAAAAAAATTAAAGAGGAACTCTTTAAAAAGCTGGAGTACTTTGTAATTGAGTTGAAACTTAAAACCTTTTGCTCTTATAACACAAATCTACTTTTCAAAATTAATCTGAAGCATACTTACCAGCTGTATTGCAGCCTGCGACAATTAAACCTGATACCTTTTGCGGGGGTGACTTTCGTTTGAAGATGTCTCAGCTCTCGGGTTTGATTGTCGCTAGCCGTTCAATACAGCTTATAACCACCCGTATACACTAATAGAGTGGCGTAAATATGCTGCATAGTTTCCGATGTAAATTGAACATTGGTTGGACAAGTGGTATGGTGTGAATGATTTGATCATTTAAATGATCTCTCTGGTGCATTGTTAAGTACTCTAAGGCAAGAGTGTAACTAGAGCATTTGTACATGGTGTGTGCGTGCAAGGATCTTATAAATGGCGTGCAAATGTGAATGCAAACAACGCATAGTGCACCGATTAATCGCAATTTACAATCAATCTTTAAAAGAGCTCTCAGCATCTTTTCCAACAAATAAACCATTCAGATTAACAGGCTTGACATATTTGGAAATTATAAACTACTGAGATTTCATCAATATGTTTTCAAAAAGCATAAAGTCAGGATTAATTAACACTCACCCTGATTCTTCATTGTGCAGTTTGCAAGTGGAAACTCAAAGGGCAACGGGGAATGTAGGATTTGAGATCGCTGAGATAGAATACCAATGCAGCCATATGTAGTTCAATTTGGATAGGGAATCTAGTGCCCGTACTTCTGGAACTCCCACTCGCTGTTGTCTGAAATGGGGGCATTGTATGTAGGAATCAAATACAAAAGACCCCATTGCACTGAAAAATAGAGGGGGGAAAAGGCCTACCTAAGGGGCAAACTTGACGTGTCTTGAGCCATCTGCTGATACAATGGAAGTGGAAGGCATGGTTGCAAACCCCTGCAAAGACGATTCTTAGCCTCAACAAAAGTGGCAACAAGTCCATATTAGAGCACCAAAAGCAAAAAACTAAAAGTCATAGACTAAAAGTAAGAATGGCATAATAGTCGTGGGATCAAAAATAAGAAAAGTCTAATAACAAAAATTATAACTAATGGATAAACACTAATAACAGATATCCAGAATGGAAAAATCAATGCTGATGTAGTGTGATAGAGATGGCTATATGGCATAGAAGTAGATATCTGCAATTACAACATATTGAATTTCAGTACTTGAACTTTGAGGCAAGGGTCGCTTGAGAACAGCCTCTCTAACTATGTGGCTATGGAATACGGATAAGGTCAAACACCCACTGCCCCCAAATCCCACTTGTGGGTGAGACCATACTGAATTGTTAGTAAACTTCAGCACTTGAACTTTCCTTCAACGTTGAGCTTGTCATGGGGGATCCATGTTTGTAATTCTTACTCCGTATATCATAAAGCACAGTAAAATATGTGAGAGCAGTAGATTTACCAGGAAAAGGGACACACATACACACAATTCTATGGAGTTTGAAGGTTCACTAGGGAGATGTTGTCAGTAACATGATCATTACAACATACAGTATGCAATAATTTTTGAACTTTAATATGCAAGGGAATGTGTGCCATCAACATTCAACAATGTCGTGACATTCTTTTACACCTAATTCATTGAGAACAATTAGTTTACAAAATGCTACTCCCTTTGTCTCATAAAAAGAAACATGTGTCACCAAGGGACAACTTATAAATTTTAGTAAGGTACAACGATTGGAAAGCATCAAATATAACTAAAGTTTCAAGTTAATTTGTTGATTTATCTAAACTTAGCACACTCAGCTTGTTTGGATGTTGTGTTTGTTATTAAAAAACTAAATATAATGAACATTTACTTTGTTGAAATAGGACCCTTTTTGTAAGAAAATATTTTTTCAAACAGGATTCTTAATTTTAATCAAAACGCAGGGAGTATAATTATAATAAATCCTCAATGCATGGAAACATTAATTTTAGCAAGTAGGAGATAATGAAAAGCAAAAGCATAAACGGAAATAGAAATCAAGGGGTAAGTTGGTTTAAAGAGTGGAAAAGAGGATGGCCAAACAACACTTTCATTAGACTACTGGCATAACAATTGCATGCATGGAATGAGTGAAAAGGTAGCACAATTGAAGAAAGGTACAAACCCCAAGCAACTGTGCATTCCTCGCTTGTGGCACTAGCTTGATTAGCTTGGCACTCGATACCTAGCAAAATGATAAGAAAACTTTGAGCCCAAACTTGGCAGAAAATGATGCTTATGCTTTATAATTTCAAATAAACCAAGCAAAAGGAACTTGTCAGCACTTTGGAGCATTATGAACAAAGACTAAAACTCACAGAGGTCCATGATGTGATTCCTACAAATAGCACAGTTGTCCACCACAATATCTGCAGAGACAATAAAATAAACAGTGTAAAACAAAAATGTTAAAATAAAATCTAACTGGATATACCGTACTTGTATTACATTTATATTTTACATATTGCGAAGTAAAAAAATAATCAGATTGAGCAAATGCACGGGTATCACAAAGCCCTTCACTATACAAACACAGTGTACTGAATACTCTCCAAAACGGTACATTCAAACATTATAGCATAATATACTAATGAAAAGTATCCATTAGTATTCCTATACTAAGAGAGTAAACTACACATACATGATTAATGATGCAGCACAACGGACAACACATTCACACACACACACAGAAGAAGAGAAAAAATCATATTCTATAGCACCAAAAAGGTCTCCAATAATCAAAATCATCTTTAAAATGACAAATCTGGATTTCTACAATTTAAATTACTTTTAGTATTGAGCTACAGGAAAGGGAGCATTGGTGCACCGGTTGAGGTGCTTCCATGTGAACTTGACACCACAGGTTTGAGTCCCGGAAGCAATCTCTTTCAAAAGTAAAAGGTAAGGTCTACCTACATAATACCATCATAATGGACACTTCCTCCTATTCTCACTCAAATACTCAATGTGGATGTTTTTTTCACCAAGCTACCCTTAGTATTTAGCTATTGAAGTAACCACATATACGAGCAATAGTGTGAACTGTAAACTAAACCAAAAAAAAAGATTGTACTAGTGTTTTCGTGCACAAGAGTATTCAACCCCATCATAAACAAATGCTTCCAACCACTGTATAACCACTAGTGTTTCAATACCTAGTAGAGATTTCCTCAAAAAAATTACTTAATAGAGAATACAAATCAATCAATTGCCACCTTTCAAACCACAAAATCAATTTACAGTTTTACACCAACAAGACTAGACTTTCTACCCTGTATATCCCTTATAATATTGAACTATTCAAGTAAACGAGTAAACCAATAAGCACTGGAAGGTCTAAAACAAGAAAATATACCATACGGATTTTCAGAGGGAACACAAGAATCAAAATCATAATGAGCACAAACTCCAGCTTACAAAAAATAGAGAAGAATTAGGGTTCCAATATAAACTCCAACGTACAAATACTATATAATGATTTGGGATCCAACCGAAATAAATCGCCTGTAATCATCATAACATAACACATACTCAGACATGCTACTTTAGTTTCAGACAAATTAGGTTAGGCTCTCGAACAATATGCGCAAATACAAACACCATCTCACGAGTTTGGATTGCGATTTGCATATCAACATTGAGAGAGAGAGAGAGAGAGAGAGAGAGAGAGATACCCCAGGCCCAGAGGGAAACTGCGTTCCACTTTTTGATCTCGAATTTCTTGCCTTTCTTGGTTGAAGACGACGGTGCAGCGCCGCTGGAACCCTCGCCGGCCGGAATAATCATCACGTCTGTGTCGAGAGACGCCATTGGAGGGAAGGTGGCAGGGCTCCGTTCCGATGAGTGGGGAATGCAGAATTTGGATCGAGGTTGGCTATGGGCCAAGGTTTTGCAAAAAAAAGTACGGAGTACTACTTCTCTCGCAGCTTTTCTTTTGGTAAGAACTCCTGGTGACTTTACATTGTTTATAGAGGTTTTCCAAATTCTTTTCTTTGGTAAGAATTTGGTAACATATGGATTTTTTTTATTCCATTAGGATTTTAATTCGTAATTTCAAATTTTTGTATATTAAATAATAAATTTCATAAATAGCACCTAGTTATAGGCCGTTTTTCATATTTAGTCCTCACATATCAAATATCAATAATTTAATCTTTTATTATTATACTCCCTCCGTCCCCCTGTATTCGTCCACTTTTGACTTTTGGAACTGTTCATTTAAGTACTTTGACTCATCAAATTCTCTCAATGTGTAAGCCTAAATATAGTCATGTGTGATCTTGTTTGATTTGTCTTAACATATAGATTATTAATATATAATTTTTATAATTTTTTAATATACAAATTACAAGATAAAATAGATTAAAGAAGTGCATTGGATGGTGTGCAAAACTGAAAGTGGACAAATATAGGGGGACGGAAGGAGTATTATTTAATACGAACGGTCCTCTATCACAGCCCTCTCTCTTCAATTAGGTTTCCTCTCTCCTTTCGTACTCCTTCACAACTTCATCGTTGAGTTTGAAGCTCTGAACCCAAAATTGAAATCACCACTCTTCTCGGTGGACTGAATATGAAAAACTCTCGCTCATAATGGACTATTTAGAGAATTTTCTCTTTTTAAACCACTTTTAATATAGAAATTAATAAATACGAAAAGTCTATGATTATTGTTTATTTATAAGAAGTCAAACTTTGTCCACCATAAAAAAATTACCGAAAATTTCAATTTTTAATACGATAATCTGTTTAGAATGGATAGAAATTAAAAAGCAATTAGAACTTATTATTCTGTTTTAACTACAGAAACTTGGATTGAAAAAGAAAAAGAATACGTCTTACGGAAAATTTTGTTAGGGCGCAGATTTTCTCGGCGAGAGTTCCTATGCCACTCAACACTGAAATGGATGACACCTAACATAATACTCCGTAATGCGTATTCTCTTTTTTCTATTCAAGCATTGTTGTTAAAATAGAATAATAACTTCTAATTTCTTTTGAGAAAAGAATTAAACTAGAAGTAAAATATGAAGAAAGTACAAAAATAAGATCTTTATTTTTTATCTCCGAAATATGAGCACAATCTTAATAATGCCAATATATGGTACCAAAAATAGAGTGAGATGTCACTACACAGTATTATAGTGTCACAATGCAAACTCCTATATTAAGAAAAAACATGAATTTTTTATTTTTATGGTAAATGTTGTCTTTGCATCTATTTGGGGGTGATTTCTCACTTTTTAATTTATATCCATTCCAAACTAATTCTCATATTAAAAATTGAAATTTTTCGTTCACAATTTTTTATGGTAAACAAATTTTGACTTTTTATAAATAAACTATAATTATACACTTCTAGTATTTATTCATTCCTATATTAAAAGTGTTTTTAAAAGATTAAGTTCTCTAAATAGTCCTTTTATAACTTAGCATTTTTAATATTTAGTTCATATTTATCAAATATTATGTTCGTGGTCTTTATTGATTGGGTATCAGTCTACGTTTAGTCTTTATCTAACGGCACTATGACGGAACATAGAGAGAGGACCAGGTGTGGAATGCTACCCAATTAATAAGGACTATCATAATAATATTTGATAAACATAGTTTGTTGTCATTTGTTGGTAGAAATATGCGTGATGTCTTTTTTTTACATTATGGAGAGGATTAAGCCAATGATCAACTTTAGGAACAAAAACCTTTTCTATAAATTTTGTTTTTATTCCTGGATTCTCTTTGCCCTTTAAAGCGTACCATAAATCAGATTTGGTGGAGTTCAGGCAGAATCAATGTCAAAGGTATTCCTTGGATAGTGTGAGATTGATTGTGTGTTCCGAAGAAGTTTGGAGGGCTCGATTTCAAAGACATACGAGCTTTCAATTTGGCATTCCCTCACCAAGCCCCAATCCTTAATAGGGGCAAGAATTTACAAGATGGAAGATGCTTGGCAGCCCTGTACGACATTTGGCTGACGCTGAACGAGGTTTTTTTTGGACTACAAACTTCTTTTACCACGGTATACATGGAGTACGACAGTTCGGGATTTGGCATCTTAGCGTGAAACAGTCCTCTAGATCTCCCCCCACCCAGTTCGACCCTTGATTCTACGATGCCTCGCACCAATTTCAGGTATCAAAGTGCTACTTTGATGCTGGCAAGATGAGTTTTGAACTTATTCGTTTATCTTGGCATAATAATTTTTTGGTGATTGTGAGGGGTCCTTTTCGAAATGTGTCCTCTCCGCTGATGGCTGAGATTTTGGTGTACAAAGAAGCCTTGAGTTGGCTTAAAGATCGGGGTGTGTCTTCGGTACAAGTTTTCTTTGATTGCTTTACCCTTTGCAACAACCTGACACCTTCTTCGAATCTTCGATTTTGATATCATCCACAATAACTACAAGAACCTTTTTTTCGACATTGTTTATATTCATTTTTGCCTCGTTCTTCAAACTCTCTCTCTTATCTCTTTTGGAGTTTATTAACCAAGCTTTAGTTTTTAGTTTAAAAAAAGTCACGATCATGACCAAATTAGGACTTGACTGGGTCAACTTGCTTTGACATCAACTCGAATTACTCACACTCATACCATGTTTTTTTAATTTATTCTTATTAATTATTTTTTTTTATCGATTTTAATTTAGTTTACATTAGAGAAAATCATACTCCCTCCGTTCCACAAAACCCTTTCGATTTTAAATTTGGAGAAAAATAAGGAAAATGTAATTTTGGTTGACTTTCCAATTTTGTCCCTGATGTGATGGGAAAAAGTAAGATGTGATAGTTTGGTTATTATTGAAAAAGTATGATGTGATATGTAAGGTATGAAAAAGTAGGGGTAAAAATGGTTTTTTAATAGAAAATGGAAGTGTTTTGTGGAAAGTAAAAAAAAACAAAAGAGAAAGAATTTTGTGAAACGGAGAGAGTATAAAATAAAAAATAGGGTAAATATGTTGAGAGTAAAAATATGTTGAGTGCACGCTGAGGGTAATCATTGAGTGTCTTAAATACTCCGGCGGCTGTGTAGACTATCTTCTTCTTCACTGGTCTCTGTGAACACATTTCCCATACTTTTGGAAGGAGAAAATCACAACCATGGCCCGCCCTTCCATCATCGTCTGTGTGGTTCTCGCCGCGATCGCCTCCGCCGCCGCCGGATCGAACACCTTCTCCGGCGATAATCCGATCAGGCAAGTCGTGTTGGACGGGTTACACGAGCTGGACAGCTCGATTCTCTCGGTCATCGGCTCCGCTCGTCACGCCCTCTCCTTTGCTCGCTTCGCTCACAGGTTAAATTCTCATCAGGCGTCTTCTGTTTAACGGATTTTATTCATACAGAGCTTGGTTGGCGAGTATTTGTTTTCAATTTTTGGCATCACTTTGTGCAGGTATGGGAAGAGATATGAAAGCGCCGAGGAGATCTATCGGCGTTTTGGTGTGTTTAAGGAGAGTTTGAGGACGATTAGATCTCATAACAAGAAAGGGCTTCCGTATAAGCTCGGTGTCAATGGTATCTGCCCTTTTCTGCTTGGTGAAAAATCAAACATTAAGCTTGAATTTTGTGATTTTTATTGGTACCTTTGAGATGCAATCTTGTATTATCTCTACTTGAAATAAAGATATTTAGAGTCTAACACGTATCAAATTCAGTTAAATTCAGTTCGGGTCTGTACTTTTAAGTGAGAATTATCTAACTTTTATTTTGGTTAAATTCAACTCATAAATTTCAGTTGAAAAGATCATTCTCTAATACATATGAACAGGCTGGATACAGAAGCGATTCAACATTTTTTTTTCATATTACAAGAAAATCATCTATGTTTGCTGGTTTATTTGGCCAAGAACTTCACTTTTACAAGGCTAGCTAAAGATGATCGAGAAACATAAATGAGATGAAGAGTAATATGTTAATACGAGTAGCATCTAAGTGGTTTGGTTGCTATCCTAGTAAGAATTAAAACGATAATCGCTAGATTATGAACTAAGTCCTTACATTTTGTTCTGTCCTGTTTGTAACAGAGTTTGCTGATATGACATGGGATGAGTTCCGTACACATAAGCTGGGCGCTGCTCAAAACTGCTCTGCTACTTTAAAGGGGAATCTCAAGATCTCTGAAGCTATTGTCCCAGAGACGGTATTCTCTACAGTCTACCCAATCTTTTATCATTATTTCAGTAAGCCAGTATTCTGAACTAAACCTAACATGCCCAGTATATCTCTCCAAGAAGTAAGGTCGGGGCTTGATTTATACTGATCTTGGAATATTACCTCTACCACCAAGGAGTAGAATGACCATATCCAAGAGGACCCCGCAAATAGTTAGACGTAGTGTTAGTAGTGTAGTAGAAAAAATCGTGATTTTGTTACAAAAATATCATAAATTGTTGGAAACTGAAGTGGTGAGATAAGTTTATCTAATTATGCGTATTGAGTAGTCTGGAGTACTAGTGTACTATGTGTGCATTTTTCATACTTCAAATCAAAATAGGCGGTAGAGATTAGAGAAAACTAATACAAGTAACAGAAGTTAGAGAAGATAAATCAGAAAAATAAAATAGTAAACAAAGCCTGTCAATCTGTCATTACTATAAAAAGCCTACTTTGTTTCCGAGGATCGCACATTGGTTTAGATCAAAATAAGGCACTATCCAAGAAGCATATACTATTGCCAAAGTTTTGTTTCCCTTCCAAAAGCAACCTACCCTTTTGTTTTGTGGGAAGCTTTATGAGTTCTAAAGGAAAAGAGTTCACATCAAACAAAAACTTTATGGAACTGGTGACGAGCATATACTCCGTATATAATTTTTTTTTGCTGATAGTGATCTTTATTGACATGAATTGCTTTGCTTACATTCTATTCATTAGAAAGACTGGAGGGAAGCTGGCATAGTCAGCCCTGTCAAGAATCAAGGCAAGTGTGGATCATGTTGGACATTCAGG